TTCATAGCCCTGATGAAGGCTTGAACTTCGGGCGGAAACTTCGGCAAATATAAGCAAAGAGTTAAAGTGGCTTTTCCCCTCCTTCCGAAGACACTATTTCCTAGGTACGTTCCTCTACCAAATCATCAACAACCATTGTCCTTCTTAAACCTACAACCTTCTCCAATTCAAATCCTCAGTCCATTCCCTGTCCACAAGATCTCGACCTTCTAACCTTTACATGCCTTCTCATAGATCTGCTTCATTCCAAAATTCCTTTATTGTTCGCTCTGTCAATTTCTGGAATTCCCTCCCTATCAAAATTCGACATTCCCCATCCATATCCACATTCAAAACCCTTCTATTCCAATTCCTATCCCAAAAACAGTCAGATAGTTGCTAACCATTCGAGCTGATTTTAATAGAGAATTTGCTATATTTTTATTTTTTAATTCTTTATTATTTTCTTAAGAGTGTATACTGGTTTATCAGTGCAAATAGCTTTAAGTGTCTTGTTATAGTATTAATTGTTTTGTATATAGTTTCGTTTGTTTTGTATAGAATGTTTACCTTATGTTTTCTTTACATTATTTCTTTCTTTCGATTGATTTTATTTTGGCCAGATGTAATCTTTTTATTTTGTTCTATTTTGTTATCCTCAAGGGACTGTGCCCCAGAATAAAATTATTTTTCTCTTCTATTCTATATAAAAATAAATACAATTATTTATTTTAAATTTTAACTGATCACCCCAACCATCCTTCTATTCAATTATTTATATGTTTGTCTTTTTTTCGTTAAATGACAGGAAGAAGCAGCCGAACAGTGGTTCAGAGGCGGAAAACATCCTTAAAATAAAAGTATTCCAATCACACTTTTTATACTATATTATATTTTCTAAATATTCCAAGAACGTAAGTCAATAACTATTCCTTCAGTTTTCCCCAATGTAATCTTCAGAATATATTGACTACATCCAAATTCCTCAAAGTGACATGATCATTTTTTTTGGAAATACCTTCGATAAAAACATGTCATGGGGCCCGCAAGTAAAAATGAAATCTTAATCCGTATCTGTTGTGAATATGAAGATTTTAAAAAATAACGTTGTCGTAATTACAAAAAAAACATAAAGCTATAGATTTGTTTCGTTTGATCCAGAAAAACATAGTTAAATCATATTTCATCTTTGAAGTCGTAGGTCTAAATAGTGATGGTTAACCGAAGGTACGGAATTTTGCAGCACTGTGAGGTGCACTTAAATCCAGGCGCATTGATACTACACAGCCTTACAAAACTGTAGTGCAAATACTGTAGCCCCTTAGCGCCGGCTTCGGTCTGGTATTTAAGAAAATCGGTATAATTTAAACAAAATTTAAAACTTAACGAGGAACTGGTAGTGGTGACCCTAATTTCATTATATAATATAACTTTTAATACATTAGAATGTTTTTAAAAACTTGAAGTAATTGAACTATAATTGAGGATTAAAATAATATATATATATATATATATATATATACCCCCACTGAGGGATGGAATAAATAAATATTTTTCTAAAGTAAAATTACAGTCATAATAAGCACAATAGTTATAGTGAGAAAAGAATTTGTTGAATCTATATTTACAGAAAATAGATTTAAAAAACAAAAACATACCAATAAATAATAATAATTATAATACCAAAAATGTTTATAATAAATAAAAGTGAAATAGCATCTTAATCACTAACAAATCTAATTACACTATTTGCAATCATCCAAGATAATTTTGAACTCTTCATCTTGTACCTTCACCTTTGGAAGTAAAACTAGAACTCCTGGAGATCCCAATGCTAATCTCTCATCCACGTCATTGGCATCTAAAGCTAATGGAGATTGGACTAGAGAGTTATAGCTTAAATTGAAAGAAAAAAAAGCAATCATTTTTAAACCTTAAGACTGACTTATGTAGAGAGCAGTATTTTACTCTACAATTGTTTCGCCCTAATCTAATTCCTTACTAAACAGAGATGTACATCTTGTAGCAATCTTAATAAATTGTGTTTTAATGCTTAGTTAAGACATATAATTGTTTTCTCTCTCATTACCGATCTCTTTTTGATGTTTTCGTTTACCATTTCGCTTCAATAAACTTCTTTTACTGGACGATTAACATTTCACTTCGGAAACAATTTATTGTCACTTATAACATATAATTATATTTCAGTTAAATTAGATAACAATTAATAACAAATATTTTTTTTATTATGTTTGAGAAGTTGTTTACAAAATAACAAGTAAATGAACTCACAGGATAGGTTGACTCCCAATCGAGTTATTTTAAAAGGAAATCCTACTTCTGATGAAGGAATCAAGAATTGAAATAGGAGGTATCCAATCATTGCCCATTTGCTGACAGAGTATTTTAATCGAGTATTATGGCAACTCTACTATTTCTTGTATTTTACGAAAATTTCTATATCTGTGTGTTTGCAGAAGTTGTTTGGAAAATTAAGCAGAATATTATGATTTATTTATAACAATCCTAAATATAACAAACGATTAATGTAATTTTGTATTGGTGTCGATAGTTATTAATCATTTTAGAATTAAATTTTTTTTTATCTTTTGTAGCATTTCATTTCTTGATTTTTTTTTTATCTTTGAATATTATTCCGCACCTGTCGACGACTGTTGTGAAATTGACATGTCAGGCATGGGAAAGAATAGCACCCAGCAGTACTTCTTCCCTAGTTTGAATCTACCATGGTTTAAGGAAGGGGATCTCTCATCCTGCGGTTAGTTATTATCCTCCTCGTATTGGTGTGTATGTCAGCTAAAGCCATATCTCTGATAAGTATGTGATTATTATCGTGTAAATTATTGTGACAACGTTTGCAAAGAATACTTATGTTGTTCAACTGTAAGCAGGAGAAAGTAGGTATGTAAAGTTTTGTTTGTCACGTAATAAAGGGCTTTAGTTATAAGTCGTAATATTTTTGATTGGAAAATTCGGTCTGTATTCATATATTAAAGCCTGATTTTCGCATAATTTTTTTAGGAGTATAAACTCCATCGGAATGGATCCAAATGGCAAAAAACATTAATGAAGTCTGGGGATATGGCAGAGTGAGTACGTCATTGAACGATGTTTTAAAATAATCGAGAGGAAGACTTCAGCCTTGCAGACAAAGATGGTCGCGGACGGATTTCTTTCCTTGATAAAGATGTTTCGAGAGCTTTAGTCTAAGAAAATCTCAGAACACCTGTTCGGAAACTTGCAGACAAATTATCAATTAACCAATCAACTATCGCTGACCACCTCAACGCGATTGAAAAAGTTAATAATCTCCAAACTCTTCATTCATTAAACGAATGCCAAAAAAATCTTCGTCATGAAGGTTGCGCATGTTACACTCCTTGCCCGATACAGACACATCACCCGCACTATTTCCCAGATCTCGTACCTACCGATCAGTTAGTATTTTTTTTTGACACCTGAGATTTTAAAAAGTAAAAAATGTATTTATCAAAATTTTTAAGAAATTTCATTATCATAATTTGTTAATAATAACAATTTATCGTTGCATTCAGGGGGAAATGGAAAAGTAACGTTGGCAAAAATGGATGAATAAATTGTTATGGAGTGCATAAAATGGACTAAATAATTTGGTGTCATTTACTTTATTCGTTTTGTTTCAACACCTTAAAACTGTATTCATTTTATTACAATCCAATATCATTATATATATATATATATATATATATATATATATATATATATATATATATATATATATATATATATATGCAAAGATAAAACATCTCAGTCCCATTTTCTCCTATGTTTTCACACCGATTTTCTATTTTCTGTTGTTTTTTTTATTAGACGAGCATTAGTGTTATCATTAAAACAAATTGGAAACAATATATACAAATGCAAATTTTAATTTGCTAGTTTGTTTTAAAACCGCTAACCTCCACAAGTTCTTCACCGATTGCTCTGAAATTTAGATATAACGTTGCAATCAAATTCTTAATCGTTTTTACACACATTTCATTAACCCTGTCTTTCGACATTTCGAAATCGCGTACGAAAGACGTAAGCCGCTATAAAGTATAGCACTAAAAGCGCTGTAACGATTTTATTTAAAACTTGGCTAAAGTCCTTTCAATAAACACTTTTTAATTTATGTGAACAACGCACTTCCCCAATAAGAGGATGAAATAAAAAACGTAACGATGGATTCAAAATTTTATTTGTAATAATTCAAAAAGTAGACATTTTTTGGTTCGTTTAGCCTATAAGTATTTGAAAGGTTCCTGAATTTTCTACAAAATAAAAAAATAAATCGAAATCGAAAAGAATCATATCCGATAAGACACTTAAATTACTTCTTTTTCTAAATGTTTGATTTATATTTTTCACTAGAACTCCATTATGACAAATTTATATTTGACATATTGTTATAGTATGAGTACAATTTTGAAATTAAACAACTTTTACGAAACGTTGCATTAAAATACAAGACTTGAAACTGACAATAAACCTTTGTTTTTAAAAAGTTCAGTGTCATCGAAATTTTTACTGTCGATTGTTTTTTCAGTTCTTTTGAACTAGGGCAACTTCCCTTGGAAAGTTGTAATGACTTTTATTCATAGCTGTACAAAGAAAAGACACATTAGAATAATGTGTAAATAATTTATAACATTTTTTAATCATTTTAATAAATAAAAGCTTTACCATAAACCTGAAAAACTTTATTACTTCCTTAGAACTTTTATTTTAAGAACTTCTTCCTGAAAAGTATCGTAAGCGCATATACATGTGTATGTACCAATACTTACGAGTAGGAAAAAAGTTGTTGGAAACTTGGGAATTCATTTATTTTTTTTCTCAATTTTTCAGTATATGTGTAATTCTTTATATATATACATATATATATATATATATATATATATATATATAATATATATATATATATATATATATATATATATATATGGATCTCCTCAACTCGCCTAGCTATTTACATAATCCTAAACGGCTGACAAGCTAACAGACAAGTTTCCATCCCCCACAATCGCACTCGCTCCGAGTTCCATTACTTGGTTGCCTTCCCGACCATTGCGGAACCTGATGACTATCTTCCTCTTCAGCGTCGGCCTTATCTTCCCCCGGCCACATATAAAAAGATGAGCCCCTTCCCCAAGGCTCTGCTTATCAGCAACTTCCAGCAGACTGGAGCCTCCAGTTTATAATTACGGATTCGCGATTTATTGGCGCCTGTATATCGCTCCATTAGATATTTATCGTGTATATAGTTTGAGATAGTATTCATAAGGGTAATAATTCTTCGATATAACACAAAAATAAATGTGGTAGTCAGTTTATGCCTTTATATATAAGGCTGTGCAATTGGATGTATATCTTATATTTATAATACATTATTTATTTTCCCTCTTTATATAAATATATACAGGGTGAGCTGAGGGAAAAAGACCTATCTCAAAGATAATGCACACAAAAAAATAATAATAAAAAAAATCATATGTTCTTAACTGATTTTCATCTCTCAATTATATAAAAAAGTTTTTAGTGACCCTCATACTTTATCTGGAGAGTAGGACATGACAAGAGCTCAACTACCAATCCAGTCCTCAAGGCTCGATTGTGCTGCTCTCTAAAAGGCGATTATTTTACAATTTATACAGCTGTTCATTTAATTACATATATGTTAATCTTCTGTTACCTCCTACTTTCCTAATTCAAAATAAAGATCTTTGACTACAAATTTGCAAGAGAAATGTTATTTTCATCTGTCATAGTATGATTTTACCTAGGTAACAATTATGTTTTGATTTAGACATTTAACCTTGAATACAATATATTAATTATTATATTATATATAATATTATTTATATTACATTTTGATATAATTGTAATTATTATTATTATTAAGAGAGCCAGAAACACCAGCACATGTGCTTGGAAAATGCCCCAACAACTCCCTCCTTATAACACGCCGTCACCACAGAGTCAAGCATGAACTGATGAGGCTCCTTGAAGAGAGAGAATACGTCTGTTTCGAGGAAGTATATTGTATAGATACGGATGGATCCAACCGATATGCCGACATTGTAGCATTCCCTAAGACGGGAAAGTCGGCGATGATTTTGGATCCGACCGTGAGATATGAGACCAACGACCTCGATCAGGCAGAAAAAGTGGAAAGGGAGAAAAAACAGACATATGAGAAATGCATCCCTTTCCTTAGTGAAAAGTTCCGCGAGAGTTTCGGGCCGAGAGAGTTCCACGTGAGAGGCCTTTGGTTCGGAGCTCGCGGAACGATACCAGACTCAACAAGGAGCTTCATGGAGGGCCTTGGTGTCGACATAAAGGACGTGGCAAGGTTGGCAGAGAGTATAATCCTCGACTCCCTGGGAATCATCCACCACCATGTGCATGGGAGCGGATAGGGGGAGAGTTTGCTCGCGGGGGGAGGCATGCGTGTGTTACAGCATTTTTATATTATTATTTATTGAACACGTCCACTGTACTTTATGTATTTTTTATGTATTAGGTTAGAAAGAGAGAGGAGAGAATGTGAGGAGTGGGAACATGTATAGGGGGAGAGAAGGAAGAGAAAGGGTACAGAATGATAATAAATGAATGAAAGAAATAGTAAAAATTATAAAAAAAAAGGAGAAAAAAAAGGAAAAAAAAAATAATAATATATATATATATATATATATACGTATAAAATATTGTATACTATGCTCATACATATTGTTAATCCTATAATTGTATAATAATTTTAAATAATGTCTGTAGTGATTAATAAGTATGCTGTGTTGCTAGCAACCCAATGTAATTGGGCAGCATTGGGGGTGAGGGCGGGGAATTTAAAATCCCCTCCGGCACCGGGACGCGAACTCGTACTTTTTATATCATCTCAAATCTCTGTTATCGGGTTGCCAGGCAACTAGCGTGCTGTTACACACGCTTTAGCCTATTCGGCCACCCCGCCCCCTTATTTAATGGGCCTATTCATTTTAAAGTAACACCTCCCAGAATACTCCTACCTGCATTTTTTTTTTATTTTAATTACAAGAAATATTAGAAAATGTTCCTCTTAACTTCTCAATTCTGATTAATGTAAACGGATTTTCAGTATGGCGGTGATCACCTTACTTTTTCAATTAATAAGTCCTCAATTCCAATAGATACATCGACTTCTACGTTTATGTTCAAAATATCAGTCTCTGTAGTGTTAAATGATCTTTGAAGGTCCATTCATTTTTTATATACGTCTTTCTTTGGCAAATCCCAAAATTTACTTACAGCTCTATTGTGTCTTTGTAGAATCTACCAATTAGTTTTTTGGCATTCCACGTGGTCTTTTGCCTTCTATTATTGAAGCATTCATTGCTATGTAGAGGATTCCAGATGGATTGCTACGAACCCTCATTTACAAAACATTTTTGTGAGAGATAGACCTTTCAACCATAATTCTGAAGCTACATACAATTGTACCGTAAATAGATAATGACACTTATCTTAAATATTTTTAGGTTTCTTGCACAACTATTCTTGAATAATATTAAATATAAAAATTTTTACGTGGATAATAAAAAAATTATTCTTTAAGATAAAAAGACTAGACTTTGAGTTTGCCCCAGGAGGGAAGGAAAGGGACGCCTGTGTCAAAATATTTACTGACCAGGGGCTCCCTCGGGGCAGCGCTTGGCTTAAGTTGCACTGCCTTTGGTATTATGGAAAGTAGGTATTTACAAAAAAAATATTTATAAATATATCTGTAGTCGATGGAATAAATAAGTCGAAAATTCTAACTTTTAAAATATTTTTCTTCTGTTCATTATTCCTAGAATTGGTGTCTTGAGTTTTTATTTTTTATAAAAATTAGGCTATTATTCACCAACATTTTATTTATTAATTACTTTATTTCGACTATCACTAGGGCCATTTTCAAGTCTTATTGAGTCCTCCATTAAATTTCTATTATTCACTGTCGCATTAATATTTGAATAATTGCCTAATTTTTTTTTTTTTTAAATTAAAATATTTTATTTGATAGAAGCTTTCTTTATTCAAGTCATTAAAATATTTTTAAAGCAATATCTTCTCAATATGAATAGTAGTGGTGTTATCTATACAAAATTGTTGCACTAAATTGGTCTTGCACTTTGAAATTATTTGTGCCTGTCAACAATCTACAGTGAATTATTATTATTATACAAATGAGTGGATTATTTCAGGAAATAATACCATGTCAGGATGAGCAAGAACATTACTCTTCTCTGGCTTTATTCAATTATTTTGATTGTCTATGGAAGGAGAACTCATCCTTTTAGAATCTTCCTCACGTTCAGCAATATATCGATATCGCAATATATATTGATCGTTCATAGTCAGATCCTCATCCCTATGGAACTCCATCCCTCCCCATACCCGTCAATCCAAAACTCTTCCTACCTTTAAATCCCGCCGGTTCAATAATTTATTATCCATCCAGTCCCCATAAAATTGTAAATAGTTACTACTGTAAATATGTATATAAATTATTAGATCATTCTTCATTATTTTTATTTCATGTTTATTTTCAATTTTTTGTTTTTTATTATTAAGTGATATAAATTAGTAAGTAAGTATCTTGTTTTTTTTTTATTTTGACTATATAATTACTGTATATTTATGTTTATGTAACTCTAAGTCTCCTTAGCCCACAGTATTGTCTTTCTATATTATTCTAAAGGGACTCGTTTCAGAATAAAGAAAGCATTATTATTATATCAAATCTTGTCATGTCTCTTATCACTGATAAATCAAATGATGGCAGGTGGAGATGAGAATGTTGAGTTTTTTTAGTTACATACCAAGATGTTATTGTTACAATTCGAAATAATTTTGATTGGAAGTTTCGAAGTTTTAGTGAGTGGATCTTTTTAACTACAACGAGTACCTCTATGAGAGTTTGATTAAGTACGCATATATGTATTCAGTTTCTGTCTTAATCTCTGCTTTATAGACTTGGTAAAGTAGTTTTAGTCGTTTGTTAAGTGTCTTAATATTTACATGCGGGCCCCACTTCATCCTTCTGGAGAAAGTAATTTCAAGATAAAGTACCAATGTATGTCTGAGTTGTGTTGTTTTATTAAATTTGAAATTCTTTTGATTTCCTTAGGAAGGAAATCAATAAAATAATTAAATTATTTTTAATCTGTTATTCAAATAAAAATGATTAAAAAATATCATTTGATTAATAGAGTTTCTCTGTTTATATTATTTATTCTTCTTATTTTTTTTCTCGAAACTATACAACCTTATTAAAATTCTTATATACACTTGTTATACATTACAAATTAACTTATTTTGACATTTAATTATGGCTCTATATTACCTGTTCAGTTGAATAATATGGAGTTGATAATTTCGCATCTAGCTACAGATATATTACTAAGGGATTATTCAGCTAGTTAATAGACTATTTACATGGCAATAAGTGTTCTCTGTCAGCTGATTACTAAATCAATTTCACGCTCATTTGGCTTAGTCCTTTGTCAAAAAAATTTATATACGTCATGAATTCATAGTATATTTTTGGGTTAATTTAAATATTCACAATAAATCACCAACTTGATTATACTCCTTTTAGTTATATTATGTCATACCAGACTGAAACGACAAGAAACCGCTCGACGTTTCCGATTACTCCAGCACTTACTAGCCAAAAGCTCGAAACTTCCAATTAAATACAAAAGATTCATATACTCGACTATAATAAGGCCAGTTACGGAGTTGAGCTATGGGGTTCCACTAAACCATAGAATTCCTCTCGTATCCAATCCTTACAATCCAAAATCCTTCGTAAAATCCTCAATGCTCCCTACTTTGTTACAAATAAAACCATCCATAATGTTTCTTGTATTTCAGGTCTGGCCCAATCCAGATACCTAACCTTCCATAATAAACTTCAGAATCATCCCAACCCTCTCATTTCTGACCTTGCTTCCTCTTCAATTTCTGATAACCCCTCCCCCCCACGAGGCATCTGAAAAGAAGATAGTCCCCTGATCTCCTAATGTAGACTTATCATTAGAGTGCTACCATTGGTTAGTTTCTCAACAAGTGTTTTTACGTCATTATATCCATATGTTCAAATTTACTAAATGTATTTATTTGATGCAGTTGTAAATACCATTAAGAATTAAAAGAAAAAAAGTTACATTATACTATTATGTGATATAATAGTAACCATCATATATATTTAAAAAAAAATTATGTTGGATTTTTAAAATATTTTATATTTTAAATTATATTTAGCCAGGATTTGTTTATGAAGGTATTGAAAAATATTTCAAAAAAAAGTCTTGTAGTGTTAATTTTATACTTTATCTATGGTAAATACATATCAATATATTTTAAAAATGTTCAAAAATAAAAATAAAAAAATTAAGAAATAAAATAAAATATTTTATTTCACTCATAAATCTTTTTATTTCTTTAAAAATAAAAAAAAATATAAATAATATAATAATTTTAAAACAATATTACAACAAAAAATAGGAGAAATATAATGCGTATTCATTAAATAATAAAAAAAATTAAATATTTTTATATGTTTTTAACTTAAACTGAAATAATAATAAATGAAAATTTGATGCATTTAATTATATATTGTAATTTAGGTATATTTAATATTTGCTATATAATAAAGGTCACGATGATTAACATAATATTAAAACAAATTAATCAGCCAAAGCAATAACAGATAAAACTGATAGTAAAGGCTGTGGCGGCCATCTCTCTTATCAGATAAGTTAGTTGGACTCAGCTAATAGCAACTGTACCCCTTCCTTATCAATTTCGTCTCCAATGTAATTCTATCAATACATGAATTATTATCATTACTATTAAAAGTGAATTAACATTATCACTTTAGATGACAAATATTCGAAAAAAAACATTACTTTTAATTTTTTTTTTTGTAATAAAAAGTGCGTATATGCATTTATATTGCTTATAATACATCCCATATAATGGAACAAAAAGAAATTTACGTTTTTCAATAATTTATTGTTGTCATTTTTGCTGAAAATATGGTTACTTTTAGGCGACAGAATATCAAATCACATAATTCTTCTACACAACTTTAGGTTAATCCCAATTTTTTTTTCAAATAAACCTCAATTCAATTAATATGGACTTAAAGATTATCAAACGAGGAAGCTTTTTTTCCAAATTGGTGTGTCTGTAGTATCGTTTGAGAGTGATCAATAAAATCGCAAATAATTCAGGATTTTTTAACGGAACTTAGCTCCGTTCAGCCACTCAACAGCCCTCTTTAAATGGTTTCAAAAATGACAAACTCTATAT